ATGTGGTGTTTCTTTACTGGATCTTTATGCCATGGATTAGTCCATTCTTGCTGAATACTACACACTGCAAAACCAGTGATAGGCCACTAAGTCAGCTGACATACACTGGTATTCTTTTTTCATTATTAAGCAATTCATATTTTAAAAGTGATCTCAAGCCTCTAAAAAATGAGCATGATAATCTGGATGACATAATTCAGTTGTTCTCTAAAATCTGATTGAAAAACTAATTTTAGACATGGAAAATGTCTAAAGAGACTAAAGACCTGTCTTAGAGTGAATGAGAGAGATAGAGTGCAAAGTCCCAGCATAGAAAGATGATTCAACACAGACTTTTTTTGTGTCTGCATTGATATACCTGATGGCTGAAGGAAATGCATAAAAATATAAAACATATTCTCTGCTAATATTTGCTGAGATGCAGTACAATCCATGAGAGCATTTCATATACCTGCCCATTTACAGATGTTTTTCATAGTACTTTTCACACTGTCAGAAAAAAACATTTCCTTCTAAAACTCTTTTTTTCCCATTTTTTTCCTTCTGATTTTGTTAGCATTTATTGGCTATTTTTTGGAAATCAGAACATTATTTACCATCTTAAAAAAACAAATGAGAAAATATGCCTAAAACTGCAGTGTGTTGCTGGGAAGTTCCAGACCAGCTCTAAACTACTTGGTTAGGAATGATCTCAGAACCAGTAAATTCACATATAGTCAGATGTGATACAGACACATCCCAGCACTACCCCTGCATTCACAACCGTAGGAATTTGCTGGGCCAGAATTTTCTGAGGTCATGAGTAAACTGGAAAGTCACCCTAACTAGTGATGCTGAGTACTGGAATAAATTGCCTGTGGAACTTATACAGATCTCTGCACACACTAAGAAAATATAGCCCAGATATGTCTAATATAGCTCACATACATCTCAGATAAAGGTCATTCTTTCCAAGACAGAAATGTAGAGTAGATGGCATCTTGAGGTTTTTTCTAAGATAAATACTTCTGCTCTCATTCATTCATTCATCCTTTTCTCTTTTGTGGGATCTATAGATGGTCTTTCAAATCATATTTCACATATTGCTTTGGAATAGTCAGCAGAGCTAAAGCCCTGTTTTGCTCATAGTGTGTCCTGTCCTTGCAGCATGCAAAATATGGGACTTGCCATGAAAACTGTATGGGACATGCAATTTCATTCAGGAGGTGTCTATGCAAAAATGAAGAGAGTTTTAGTTTTACTTTGCAACTTACCTGTAGGTCTTTCTCTTGCAAAGAAGTGTTTCAACATAGTTGCTTTGAATAAATGTGGTAAATTTCAATCATTTCTGGAAAACTGACTGTCTGGAAATTGCCTCTACTTGTCTGCATATTTTCAGAGAGTGTGAATCACATAAACAACACTGTACAGTACTGGATGTGCATTCATTGTCTTTTCTTGGAAAAAGAATCTGAGGAAATAGAATTTGTTGCAGTTAAGATTTTTCACTGTCTCCAGTTTTGTTTTTCCCTTTCATCCCTACATATGCAAACTTCCTTAATCTTTTTCCCCACTTCCTCATCTCTCTGACCTGCTGTTCAACCTTCTGTAACTGCAATGAGTTTTCTCCATTACTTTTCAAATTTTGATATCTTTATGTTATAGTTTGTCATAGTTTCTGTTTTTTTAATTTATTTTTTATAATTCTCATTATATTGTGATGCTTCATGATTAGTTTTGGTCAGTAGGATGCATTCTTTTGATTTTCTTCTCCCTCATTTTCAATATATTCTATATATGTATGATACAATAGAGTAATCTTTAGTGCATGGTCACACCTGTGTTACCATTCAGTCTACCTTTGTAGCTTATTTTCTCTTCCACTTAGAGGTCAAAAAGCACATATGCTTTTTAGGCAAATGTGTGGCATGGATGATTTTCAGTGACTAAGTGCTATCATTAAAAATGAGACATAGTGTGAAGCAAAAATGAAGTTACTGAACAATGATGGGTTTATTAAGCTGAGGCTGTGCCCACGAATTACTGCTGCTTCTAGGGACAAGAGCATGGTCAGGAGGGTCAGGTGAAACAATGGTGCTGTTGTAAAGTTGGTAGGATCCTGCCTCTTTGGAAGCCTGTCTCTTGGACCTCCACCTCCTTTAATAGGATTATGCTAAATTTAGCAACTACAGTACAAGGAAGATACATTACATAAAACTAAACTATATGATTATTACAAAGTTTGTTCCCCTTTCCCCCACAAAATTACTATTAAAAGTAAAATTTGGAGAAATAGATTATGTAATGACTTTTCAAGTAATTAATTTTTGTTTTATATTTTGTATTACTTATTTCTCCTTAACATTTCCAAATTTAGTCATAACTAGCTTCTCTGTCAATTATCTCAAACTGAAAATGTTTCACCTAGAATACACACTATAGATATTTTCTGTAGGGCTTTTCTACACAGCAAATTTTGAGTGTTTTTTAGTTTTTCATGTATTCACACTGCTAGTTCTTTCAGAGAAAGGTGTTTTTGGCTTTTGTTGCTCTTGATAGGAGAGGAAAGGCATGTATGCAGGGATTCTGGTATAAGGTTTCTGATGAAGGATTCACACTTTCAGACACAATAATGCAAGTATGAATAGTTAAGAAATAATCCTCTTTCTCAAAAATTTTCAAATAGCTGCAGTATGTATTTAAGTATAGCTGTAAAAACCTTCATGTACTAAGATTTTCCTCATTTGCTGTGGCTAGAAAATTTCTGTAACTCAAGAAACGCTATTAGAGCCAGTCAGGCATCTTTAGCATTGTGTTTAATGGAAGCAGACCCTTAACTGATACTGTGGCACCAGGCAGGAATACAGTAGCCTCCCAGGACTGCAATCTAAGACCACTTTTCATGGCTTCTGGCATGTCCTGCAGGATCATTTGTATGGCCTTACACCCCTACACAACAACATAACAAGCTAAGGATAGAATAAAACCAAAGTCAATATTTAAAAATATTTCTCAGCAGGAAGAGCTATAATCAGGGGTAGTTCCAGGATTATTTAGATTGAAATTTTCGTTTATTTAAGGAAAAGAGGGAAAAACATAATTTTAATGGGAACTACAAAAAACAGAGACGTGCTCCTGCTTTGAAGGGAGTCAACCCTAACATGTGGTCTCCGAAGTCTTGAAACTGTTACGAGAAATTATTGTCAAGTGTGCTATGGTATTCTAAATTTTAGTATGAGTTTGTGATCCATGATGGCAGAGTTGGGCCTAGCAAGTTTATTTTTAAATCCCTACACCCCCAGCATGTCAGGATAGTGTCTGCAACACTCACCCATTTTGTGATGCTGCTTCATTCTTATGGTTGCAGGTTATTAAATACAGATTCAGTGGAGATCATGAGAAAACATTAGCGACTTGTCAGGGCAGTATGAGAAGCCTGCGTGCTCAGCATGGTGCTGCCTCAAGTTAAGACAAGGGAAAAAGTTAAGCGCTGGGTTAGTCTGATCTCCACTCTCTAGAGCCCAGGCACCTGAGTTATGAGCCAGAGTCTGATGTTCTCTCTGTAGAACAGCTGCTGAGAGCCACTCTCCCACAGTTCCAGTTTCTGGTTCTACTTGCATCCAGGGATCTTTGAGTTCAGAAAGGGAGGTATCTAATAAGCTTAGGTGCCTCTAGTGTTGGGTAGCAATTGGTTGGATATTGTAGATCGTGATACTCGGCTGAGATTACCACAGTTTGGTTAAATTATGTTCCAGGTACCTAAGTTCTTTTTTAGATTTGGCTGACTTAATCATTTTGAAAATGGCTGCAAACTTTGGCTTTATTTCACTACCAGTAAAAATGCAAAATCCTCACAGAGAAATTTCCTTACTTGGAAATTATGTGACCCTTTTCTTATGGCAAAGCTGAAGTTTGTATAGGTGTGATGGGTTTGCAAAGTTTTGGTAGCAGGAGTGGGGGATAGCTTCTGTGAGAAGCTGCCAGACCCACCACTGGCCAAGGTCAAGACCATCAGTGATCACAGAATATACTGAATTGGAAGGGGCCCACAAGGATCATTAATAGTGCCTCTGAAATAATAGATTTCTATTGTCACCTGATGAAGCAGGTGGATTCCTGAAGGAAGTTGGGACCCTGTGGGAATTTTGTGCTGGAGCAGGCTCCTGGCAGGACCCATGGACTCATAGATAGAGGAGCCCCTGCTGGAGCAGGTTTGCTGGCAGGACTTGTGACCCTCTGGGGGACCCACACTAGAGCAGTTTGTTCCTGAGAAACTGCACCCCCTTAAAAAAAAAGGGACCCACACTGGAACAGTTAAGGAAAAACTCCAGCCTGTGGGGAGGACTCACCTTGGAGAAGTTCATGGAGTTTTGTCTCCTGTATGAGAGACCCCATTCTGGAGCAGGGGAAGGAGGAAGAGTATGAAGAGTCCTCCCTCTGAGGAGGAAGGAGCAGAAGAGACAACGTATGATGAACTGACCACAGCCTCCATTCCTTGCTATCCTGTACTACTGAGGGGAAGTAGGTAGACAAACTGGGAATGAAGTTGGGCCCGTGGAGAAAGGAGGGGAGGGGGAAGGTGTTTTAAGATTTGATTTCTATTTTTTCATTATCTTATATTTTAATTGGCAATAAATGAAATTAATTTCCCCAATCTGACTCTGTTTTGCCCATGATGGTAACTGCTGAGTGATCTCTTCTTGTCTCAACCCAGGAGCCTTTTGTTATATTTTCTCTCCCCTGTCTAGTTGTGGAGGGCAGTGACAGAGGAGCTTTGGTGGACACCTGGTGTCTCACCAGGGTCAACCCACTACAATAGGCAAAAAAATTTATCCCCGTTTGCATCTGATTAAAAGTTCATTCAAATCAGTGGAAAGTGTCTTCCACAATTTCTGAATGTGAGCAGCAGGGCATTTTTCATTTATAAATGTCACATGTAAAGCTGAGCACTGTTCTGCTCCTGGGACTGACTCTAAACATTTATAAAAAGAATACTTGCCTAGAGCAAAACAGTGAGGACTTTTCTGTGTATGCCAGAGAGCTGGAAAACCAAGCCTGCATTGTATTTCCTCTTTTTGCTGAGCAATAGTGTTAGGTCATATGAGAAGACAGTAACTGGAATAGAAAAACATCTTCAAAATAAAAATATACATCTCCAAAAGAAATAACCACTGCCTTCAGCAGCAAAGGAGCAGTTCTGTGCTGGAGGGTCTCTTCTCATAATCTTCACTTAAATTCTTGCCCTTCCGCCCCCTCTTTTTTTCTTTTCTGTGGCAATCTTGCTGCCCACTGATTCCAGTCACTTCTGAGACTACAAGTCTCAGTGCTGTCAGTGTTGTTGAGGGATAGTTTTTCCTGTGGCCTCTTCTGTGCTATAAAGATCATCATTCCATCCTAACTTCAAAGCATGGGATATTCATGGTTGTCTTGAGAACTTGTGGAATCTGCATCCTCCAGTTTTTCAAGAAACAGCCAAAATTATAGCTGACTTGATCTAATGTTGGTGTTAGTACTGATTCTAGCAGGAGGCTGGACTTGGCTACCTTCAGAGACCCCTGTCACCCTAAATTTCTTTGATTCAATTTTGTCATCCCCTGTATGAGATCTCCAGTCAGTCATTGAAATAATTAATGCTGTGTCAGAGTGTCCATGTCTCATTGTTAGACTAGAAGTGCTGATTTGGCAGATTAGTTCTCCTTTCAAGCAGCTGAGTGATCTGAAGTTTTTGACACTCTGTGTATGAAATGGTGCTGATTTATACCAGCTGAGGGTATGGCATTTAAAGTACATTTTAATTTTACTGTGTCTATTGTACGCTACCATGTTTTTTAACAACTTGTATTAATATTTTAGGAAACATGACATTAAAAATGATTGACAAATTTTGGTTGGGGTTTTTTTTTGTTTGGTTCTTTTTATTTCTAAAAGAAAGATGTTAGTGCATGCAGTTGCTTCAAGCGAATTCTGCTTCTAGTCCTGGAGCTGAAGCATACAATAGAACAGGCAGCTTTTAGTTTAGACTGTCATAGCTCCCTTTGGTCCAATAAATTTAAAATCAAGTGGTTTATATGTAGGTCCTTTTTGTATAACATTATTTTAAAATAAAATTAATTTAAAAAGAGTGGAAGGGGGAATATTCTTTGCAGTTGAAAAGTTTCAAACCAATACTGCTCTTTAGAAGAGATCCAGCCATGCAGCCACCGTAATGGCCAGAAGACGTTATATGGCACATGTGGTCCTGATAACATAATGGACAGTGCAGTTAAAATACAGGAACAGGATTCCTCTGCAGCAATACAGTGCAGGAGGAAATACATACTGACTGGAACACAGACAGATATTGCATTCCTCTGCTGGACACAAGCCAGCTCTCATCCAAAAAGTGCGTGACCTCGTTAGCACTGTACTGAGCCTGAGCTTGATATCCCACTTCTCACTAGTAATTATCCTCTCAGGTTCAGCACTGTACTAATGTGATGGGATGGGTTTTGTTCAGCTTGGAACACACAGAGCTGGATAATGTGTAGGCATGATGTTTTCCTTTTATCAATCTGTAAAAAAATCTAGCAACATTCATGTGCTTTTGTAGAAAAAGTAGTTCAAAGTAGTTCAAAATAATTCTTTGCCATAAGTTCAGGTGCCATTTCCTTTCTGCATGGGTAACAGTCCAAATGTTTCCATCTATAACTGCTTATCTAGTCCCACTGCATGCTGCTCACATGCATCTGATCACACATTGCCAGTAAAAGTTGAAGAAAACTCTTGTGGTTTGCCAAAAATAGAAAAGTATCATTAGTAAGATAGTTTCACCTTGGCAATGAGAGTAGTTACACATGACGTCAAAACAAATACAGATGCTTCTTTTGAGAAAAGGTCTTTTGAGGGCACTGTATTAGCAGTACTATGAATTTTTAACAGTTCTAAATTTTTATATTATGTGTATTAATCATTGCAATTCCTCTGGTTCTCGATAAATATAACCACAGTTTTATTCAATTGCCAAATGTGTTCTGGAGATCTATCAGTTTTTCTTTTCACCCAGTAACATGTTTTTTTATGTCTAAATACTTGACCATAAAATTTAGTGGGACAGGAATCTCTGTGCTTTCTTCTACTGTAAAGAACTCTGTTTCTGAAATCTGAAAATTCTAAAATTTTCTTTTACTGCAAGAATTCTTCTTACATTTGGTGAGATAAATACAGCTGTGAGCTTTCTAAGAATACAATGAAAAAAGTTCCAATCCCCGCCAGCATCAATGATGTGTAAAGTGCAAAGCCATTAAGTCCTTCCCTATGAAAATAGCTCTGGAAAAAGCTAAACTTGTTTCCCTTTGTGAAGTTCTGTCTATATAGTTTATGGGGCTGAATGTATCTGTGAAAGGAATTCGTTTATAGTCTGTGGAGCTTATGATACAGCTCTGAATCCTCTCTGTTTCCATCCAAAGTTCTGAAAAGGTGTAGATCCATATAACTTTTGATTGTGGCTGTCCACTGCTCAAGGACCTTTTCTTTATGGAGGTGATTGAGATCACATTGGCATTGTCAGGTTTTTCACTAAAGGCCATGAGAAATCGTTGAAGACTCCAATGGCCCAGATTCTGTAGGCCCTTCCCTCCCTGAACTGAATTGGGAAAAGAAAGCTGCTCTTGATTGATTATACACACAGTAGCTCCCTCTCTGTTGAAGGATAAGTACTGATATGGCATGTTTGGGGTGCTCCCAGCTGAGACAAAGATTATTATGACTTTAGGAAACACCAATAAACCCTTTTCTCTTCAGAACTGTGTGTGGTTCTGGTCACTCCATTTGGACAGATACTTTAAAGTAGAAATAGCTGCTGAGAAGGGTGATGGTAAGAAGGAAAGCATGGTTGATTAGAATAAAAGAGCTTGACTTTTACAGTCTCAGAAAAGGCAGAGAAAAGGTTTATTACTGGTTGTAGATAAGTGAAAAGTAAATTCCAGGGTGGAAAGCATCTATTTAAGTGAAAAGATAATGAGTACGATCAGAAGTCAATACAAGATAACCATTGTTGTGTTCATGTTAGAAATTAAAAGATTTGGTGCTGGCAGACAGTAGGGCTTTTGGAATAGCCTTGGCTATCAGAGCAGTGCATATGAAAGCCTGACTGATTTTAGAATAACACTTCTCCAGTTTTTGAAAGGGATTAGGTGATACAGTATCTGTGGTTATCGGGGACTAGACTCAGTGATCTGGGACATCCTTCCTATTTGTGTGCAGAATAAGATGGATTTGTGCTGAGCATATCCTCTCAACTGAAATTCAGAAAATTACATGATTAAATTAATCATCTTTATCAGCCTTTTGGCTACAATTTGAGCATCAGTTGTTGCAAAACCACTCTTTTCCTGTGTTGTAAGAATGCATACATTCTTGCTTTTAATGGTGGTCAAAGAAAAGAAATTGTTGGAATAGATGGAAACATCAGAATATGGTCATGTTGCCTTCTCTCTGTCCTCTCTGACAGCTGAACCTAAAGTAGAAATGTAGGTAATAGCTTTGCCGCTGAGGATCTCTCAAAAGGGCAGAAAACTTCACCTACATTCACTGACTTTAATGTAGGTACCTTAACGAATGAATGTTAAGTGTCTGACAACCTAGTCCCAATTAAAGAATACATTTTAAGTCATTTTCAGGCATATTACTCTTCCTTACAGAGTTGTGGAAGGGCTGCCGTACAACAGAGCTAACAGGTAGACTATGAAAACAAGTTTTTCTCAGATTCTTTCCTGCGTGACAAACATCCAGGGAAGAATTTCCACAATTCTGCACTTGATTCAGTGCCTGGAGATATGAGAGGAGATGGGAAGCAGATCTGACCTTTTTCCATTTCCTTGGTAATATTAATTCATGAAAACACTCTCTGTGCCCCCTAATCCAAGTCTTCCTCCGCTGATCTCACTTTCTTCTCTACAGTTGTTAGGCAATGGGATATTACAATTGTCTTAGATTGAGGAGAAGTTGCTGTGCTAGCTAAAAAATTGGCACCACACCTTCTATTCAGAATACTGCACGTTGGTGGTGTCTGTTCAGATAACCTCTAGCTACAGTTGAGTAATACCACAAATGGGGAAAACCCTAGAGAAATAGGAAAATCCCTAACTGTTTGTGCATTGTGTAAGTATATTTTACTTAGGCTCTTTGCCAAAGAAGATGTGAATCAAAGATGCTCTCTGTATAAGAGTAAAGTGTACTGTCATGTTCAGGATCTTATTTTTGCATAAAAGATGCCCTTGGGATTTGTGAAAGGGGAAGAAAATTTCCATTCTGGTTTTAGTGTGTTATGTTTTTCTATTGCACTCATCACTGAAAATTCCTGAAAACAAAAGATATAGAAAGTGGGAGAGGAACTTGGCTAATTCATTTGAGTTCTTCTTTCACATAAATGGTCTCTTTGGACTATTTTGCAAAATGATTGTAAAAGAAAATACCACCCCTACCCCCCCTGGTATTGTACAATAAAAAGAAACATTTATTAAAAAAATAAGGAATTGAGCTGTGACCAAATGTTGCTGTAACTGGCAAGTGTTTGTGCAAATATTTGATTATTTATGTAAACCTTCCTAACAACTCCTCACCCAGAACAAAAACAAGTGCCCAAGAATGACAAAATATCTACCTACCAGGATAAAAGTCACTGAAGCACGTGTTTCTTTTTTTCCTGTGAAAAAGATGAGAAAATACATGCAAAAGCTCAGATGATAGGATTACTTTGAGCAACATTGAGAATCAGTAATTAATTAGGATAAACTAGAGGGTATAAAAAGATTTCTGCATCATCCCACAGCCCCACAGAAGTGGGTGTTCTCTTCCCCACCCCCCCCCGTGTTTGTAAGTTTTACATACAATGTCCGTTTTTCAGGTGTCATAACAGGGACCCCAAAGCACTGACCTTATTTAAGTAAAAGGCTAATTCTCCTGAGTTTTGTGAGATTTTTGTTATTTACTTCAATGATATTGTAATTTTTTAATGGATTTTTTTGCCCTATAATTGTTAGAATGGTTAGAGAAGTTACTTTAAAGGTGTTGCTCTAGAAATTTTGATTGTCACTTGGAAAGTCTGTCAAGCCACTTAACCAAAATATTTTCAATAGTCTGGCTGCCAAATGGGAAGTTGAAAATACGGAAGTAATTTGCTAAATTACAGCCTCATTAGGGATTAATTTCTTCCAGTAAGTAATGGCTGAGCAATTAGTTGATCCAACAGTTAGGTTTTCTCACCAAGAAAGTGAGCTCTCTAACTCACTCACTTGATTTTTTGCAGTCATTTCGTGTATTTGTCTATTCCATTCCCTAGGGCCACGGAAAGCCTCAAGTGAAGAGACTGAATTCAAATTTTTCTTCAGCATACTTCAGCAAGATTTGATGAGAAATAATTCAAAATTATGATTTTAAAACAACAGTTAAAATTACAGTAGTTTTGTATGAGCTGGCATGTTCCTCTTCTATTGGTTTAGTGTTGCACTGAATAATTCAGAAAGCTATAGTCTTCTTTCTATTGATGAATGTGCAGAGGGAGAATCAGCAAACTTCCAATGAAGCTTTTTTTCAGTGGTGGGAGGAGTGGGATGGTGGGCAGAAGCAATCAATAAATAACAAATTAGTTCTTCAGGGGGATTTGAGGAAATTTAAAAATCATTGAAATAGAAGTGTCCCAGTTTTAGAACAAGTTTGGTTCTAAAATTCTAAAATTCTTTTATAGAATCATAGAATTATTTGGGTTGGAAGGGACCTTTAAAGGTCATGTAATCAAGCCCCCTAGCAAAGAGCAGGGACATCTTCAACTAGATCAGGTTACTCACAGCTGTATCCAACCTGATCTTGAATATTTCCAGGGATGGATCATCCGCCCCCCCTCTGGACAGCCTGTGCCAGTGTTCTGCCATCCTCATTGTAAAATATTTCTTCCTTATGTCCAATCTAAATTTAAACTCTTTCACTTTAAAACCATTATCCCTTGTCCTATTGCAACACCCTACTTCTATGAGTGTCAATATATTATACTGTAGAAGCAGCCAAAGCAATATCTTTAACAATGTCACAAGTAACTTTCATAATCTTCAGTCTATGAAAGTATGAGACCATGTCTGTTTTATTATAAAATGTGGTTTAAAATACCACCTTTTATGCATTTGCACTTTTGTGAGTCATAGTGACAAACTGCCAATTGTAAAAGATGACAATTTAGCTCTAGAAGTGATTATTAAAAAATAAAAGAGCCAAAAGGACAGAGGAATGTGAATTAATACAGGTTATTGGAACTGGTTTTCTAAAGGCCACCTTTAAAAAGGAGCTTATCTAGCTCCAATTAAAAGCAGCGGTGAAGGACAGAAGACAAACTTCTCAGGTACCCTAGGCAGCTCCACAGGGGAACTAACATGCTGCCATTTCTCACCTGCAGCAGTAATAAGGCTTTGCTCTACAGTTGTGTTTCTGAGGAGGACAGAATTCCCTGTGGATGAAAGCCTCATGGAACACAAAGCAATAGTAATTTTTGTGATGTGCTAATGCTTACCCAGGCTGCAGCCTCTGTGTTTCTATACAATTTGAGAACTTCTAAAAGTGTCCACCAGAAGACTTTTGCTGGCTCTAAAACTTACGGATTGTTGTCTAGTCAACAAGATCTTAAAATGCTTTAAAAGGACTGAGAGCTGCTGTTGTGTTTGAGAGCAGAGGAGACAAGGTGGTGCCTGCTCCTTTTGTGAGTGTGATGAAAGTGTCCCTGTCAATAGGACACTGCTTTTAAAGAAAAGAAAATGGGAACATATATTCTGTATCCAAAAGAATACTGGTATAAGGGCTATGCCAGAAACTTGAATGCCAGAACAGCAGGAAACAGTATTTTCTGGCTAAGCAATAGCCTTTCTTTAGAATGTCATGCATAGCAGTCAAAATAAGATTTGTTATTTTTGTACAGAATTTTACTGTGTGGTTAAATGTTTATTTTACTGGGAAAATGAATGTAGTCTGTCCCAAAGATAGCTGGAAGCTTGTTAAAATCTCAGTGCCAGGTTCACTTTGCCTCTTACAAAGACACTTTCCCACTTGAACACGATAAGTACTGTGCCTGAGTAATTTTATTTTCAGGCTTCTGAGCCAGATTTCAGAAATAAAATGGCAAGTCTTATTTCTAAACTTCATTTGCAATTACCATAATAATTTTTTTCTAGTGAGATCTTCTAAAAATCATATAATATTCAATAATCTTCTAAATATCTTCCATTAAAAAATCGCTGAGTTCCTTTGCTCTGGTATGAAGCAATCCATTGTGAAGTTTAATGAAACAATACATAAGCTATTGGTCGGTGGGAATGAGAGTACCTGATAAAATGCTGTCTGTATTTGATGGAACTGCTATACTTGTTAGAACAATTACACACCTCAGTAGGAATACATGAAAATGAGGATAATGCTGATCTTTTGTCCCCATACATATAAGGCTGCCATATGCAGTAGTGATATGCATTTTCACTGTATTTGAAAACGGTTTTTTAACCTGGAAAATTATTTCTATTGTGAAATATGAATATGATTACCTGTTTAAGATATGTTTCTATTTGTGTGCAATGGTTAAGCAATATTTATTTTTATTACTAGCTTTTACAATATTTTGTTTCTGTTTACAGGGGATTCATTGTAAAAGCAAACCTTCTGGTGAGTATATGTCATTCACATTTTTATTATTTTTTTTTAAGATAATTTATTAAAGATAATAAATCCACCATCGTAGTGACATAACATCACTGTCATGACAGGCTATTTACCACCAGTTTTCTAGTACAAAATATTGGAAATTGGTAGGTTTTGATAAACAATAGATTAGTAATGATTAGTTTTATAATTTGCCTTACCACAAATGGTCATTGAGAGTTTAGTAATTTTACATGTTTTTATTGCTTCTACTTATTATTATTATTGCCTACAATAATAATACAGGGTCTTGAACTACCTGAACTCTGAAGCCTCCAGCAATCACTTCTCCAGGGCACACAGTCATTTGCAGGGAAGTATGAGGCAGCTGCCTTGCAGGCAGTCCTCCTTGAGAGGACAGTCATAGTTCTCCATGAGAGGACAGTTCTAGCTGGAGGCACAACTCTGAGCACTGCCTGTCTCCACAGTGCCTTTCCCGAATCCATGTGGCAGAGAGCACAGACAGGGAGAAGATGTGATGCTGAGCCACAGGCATGTGAGATGCTGATGCTATGGCATGGTGCATGAGTTGAATGTCAGTTGTCACGAGTCCTTATTCTGAACACATGGCATTTATGAGACTTGTGTTGAGGTGGACAGGAAGAACATGCATATGGAAGGGATGCAGTTAAAAGTTCCACCTGAAAAAGTCTTTAGGCTTCTACTGCTGAGCAGAGTGAACCTTTCGTGGCTGGTTCAAGGATTGTGAATGAATCTTGTTAGGATTAGGCGTCTGAGCTACAGTTACACAAACTACGTGGAAGGCAGAAAAAGAAACAGGGGTGTTGAGCCTTGCTCTGCTAGCTGAGGCATGCCTTAATGTCCTTGAGCAGTACAGTCTGAGGATATCAAACTCTCCAACCCTGGTCTCAAAGGGAAGGACACCTGTAAATCTGTTGGTTATGAGTTAAAATCTGTGTTGGATATTCCACAAATGCAATCTAGATAGTGGAGACTCAAAGGTACTATGAGGTGATGATTCATTCTGCCCTTTTTAGGACAAGGTGATTTATGTGCTGGGAGGGAGGTGAGTGGGATTTTCCCTCTCTGTTGACTGCGAGAATTGCTCAAGTCACAGTCACAGTTTGGTTGAGTTTGGAAGGGACCTCTGGAGGTCATCTGGTCCAACCCCTAATGCAGGGGCATGCAGATGAAGCAAATAAGCATAAGTGAGATGTTTCTCTCTTAATTGGATATAGATTTTGGGCGCTGAAGGGTTTGTAAACTAAAGATTCTTATCCTTCAAGATGATGTGCATGCAGCTGGTTATAGGTTTTTCAGTGTTACCTGAAAATGACTTATCAGTTATCTTTAACACAAGTAACATGTTAGATGACTCAGCCTTACAGGGGTGGTGAAAAAACAATTTTTGTCTTAATGCTAATTCACTTGTGCAATAGTGGGTGTATACTCCTTTCCCTACTTCCTTTTCTATTTAGTATAAATTCTTTTTATTATTTGTTTTTCAAGGTAAAATTACCTTGAAAGACCTTAGCTGTATAGTAGAGGACCTTTGCAGTAGTCATTTCTTTTAGCTGCAACAAAAAGGTGACTTTATTTCCCAGAATTTGCAACTGCCAGCCCAGTAGTATTTGGCAACATAGCTTTGACTGACTTCTTCCTCATGATCTTCTAGACTATTAGTAGTATGTAAGAGCTACTGTAGTATTTGAAATTCACTGTAGTATATCCTGACATTGCTATAAAAATATCAATAATTTTAAAAAGGCCTTACATTTTTAGAGAATGTATTTGGCACAGTATATCAGCAGGTTATTCAGTATCCTTGAAAGTCTGAAATATTTTCTGAACATCCAACTGTGAAACTCTTTTAATTTACTGTGCATTGCAATCCATTTTGAAAGAGAGGCTGTCAGTCGAAATTTAATCAATTTCATAATAGCCGTAAGTACTTTCAAGTAGCAAATTTTGGTATTTATTAACTGAAGTGCACCACGTGGTTATCTTGGAACATATCTACTTTGTTTATGAATTTTGTTGAATAATCCTAATGAACAGATGCAGCAGATACTATGCAAATAGTTTTGAAATACTACTGTAATTTATAGTCATGGAATGATATGCCAGTGAAGCAATTCTAGTGTGCTTTAGATATGCTCATAGATTTAGCATTGTCAGTATCATAAGTAGTTTAGATTCTTACAATTCTTGTAACACATATAAGCCAAAAAACAGTTAGGATTTTCCATTGGGTGTTGGCCCAGGCTTGTTATTAATAGGTTTTCTCTACCTTTTTTTTTTTTTAACCTGCTCTCCAATTTCATCTTCTTGCCTGAGGCTTCAAATTATCCATCTAATAATTTCTATTGCGTATTCATTGCTCAGCTCTGGCTTCTATTATCCAGCTGTACATAAAGTGTGATTTGCTGTCGTGACAGTTCTGGGTCGATTGCTGCATCATCAGATTAAACAAAATAATCTCCTGTGGTTGAGCTGATGGCAAAAAATACAAGGAAAGTGTCTACATGACGAATAATAAGCCTTGGTTTCCTTATGCCTGGGCTTATGTGTGCTCATAATTAAGGAACCTTTTATTAAGCAACAATCCCTCTCTCATGTAGGGCTAATTACAGCTATCATTCATAAACACAAAATTTAGGCAAGATTTACTCAGCAGATGGTTTGTGTAGCAAGATGTATCTTTATGTCTTCTGGGGTATAGATAAAGCTACTTGTGCAAAAAGGAAAATGGGATGTTTTCCAGAAGAAAATATCTTAAGGGGGGATTAAAAGATGATAAAGTAAGAGTTTACTGAAGAATTAGTCAGAAATGAGTCTCATGCTGTGATGATTTATACAATGAAAATAATTTTGTGTCAGGTCTTCTTTATATCACATATTTATTTTGATCCAAAGCTAATATCCTCGTGCATGATATGATCCATTTTAATTATTATTAATGAGTTTTGCAGAATTTTTTGCAATTCTCAAAATGTATCATAAAATTAATGGGAAATAAATTGAAAGTGGAAACGTAATTTCATTTCATTCAGTGTATTACATATTTGTTCTCAGTTTGAAGACAGAAACTGTGATCAAGGAGAATAGTGTCTCTGCTGACAGAAGGACAGTAGACCCTAAATCTGTGTTTGTGCATCTAAGGGTGATGATCCCATGTCAGTAATGCACCTAGGTTGACTTGGAATTCTCCTGAGATATTACCAACCCTGTGACATCTGATGATACCATGCCTCAGGCAGTAATAACTATGGACCAAATTCAATTAAGTTATGCCAGTCTCCTCAAAAAATAATAGGGTCAAATAATATGGTCAAATGCACCCAAAAAGAATACTTTGTAAAGAACTCTCAGCTTTGACTGTATATAAATATATATATATACATATACACATACATATATATATACACATATACATATGTACACACACACGTGTACAATGCTTCTCCCTTAAATCATTTCTACATAAACATAGGAATGGGCAAGATTATAGGCCTGGATCAAGAAATTTACACCAACAACCAAGGAATTAAGCAGAGACTGTTGCTCCTGCATACCACTGGGTATCTACAACTGCATGTCTTATGATTCAGTCAAGAAAATATCTTTTTGAGCAAAGAGACAGAGCTAAAACTAATCCTCACCTATCCCATTATTAGTAACAGTTATAAGGTAGTTCTGCAATATAATAACCTCCCAATTAATTGTGGGTGGATTGATGGGGTGTTGTACAATAACTTTCCATCCTGAGATACCTTCAGGATTATTACACCACCTATTCTTGGAACATGGAATATAAT